CTCAGGGATCTATAGGGGGTCACAGGGGTCTATAGGGGTTAACAGGGATCTATAGGGGGTCACAGGGATCTATAGGGGTTAACAGGGGTCTGCAGGGACCGTGGGGATCTATAGGGGCTCAGGGGGGTCTATAGGGGCTCACAGGGGTCTGCAGGGACCCGTGGGGATCTATAGGGGGTCACAGGGGTCTATAGGGGCTCAGGGATCTATAGGGGGTCACAGGGGTCTGCAGGGACCCGTGGGGATCTATAGGGGGTCACAGGGGTCTATAGGGGTTAACAGGGATCTATAGGGGCTCAGGGATCTATAGGAGGAAGAGGGACCAAAAGGAGCGACAGGGACCAGGAGGAGCCATAGGAACTCTCAGGAATCCATAGGGACCCTCAGGCACTCAGGGGAACAACAGGGACCTACAGGACCCTATAGAACCCACCGGGAAGCAGTGGGGACTCCCTGGGGTCCATAGGAGCCAGGAACAGAGCTGAGGAGCAGGGACCAGTGGGGACCCACAGGAGCCATAGGGCACCCCCAGACCCCTATAGGAACCCCTAGAACCCCATAGGGCACCCCCATAGGAACCCTTAAAACCCCATAGGGCACTCCCAGACCCCCCTAGGAACCCCTAGAACCCCATAGGAATCCCCAGACACCCTCCCCCCCCCCGTGCCCCAGTGGGACCCCCAGCACCTATAGGCAGCACCTATAGGGTGACCTCTACAGCGCTTCCATGGGGATCCCCCTATTGCACCCATAGGAGTCCCTGGTGCCCACAGACCCCTATAGGGCTGCTGTAGGAGCCTCTGGGCACCCATAGGACCTGTCCTGACACCCATAGGTCCTCCTTAGGCTCCTATAACCCAGACACCCGTAGGACCTCTTTGGCTCCTATAGGAGACACCCTTAGAACCCCTGGGCACCCATAGGACCCCCGGGGCAACCATAGGACCTCTTTAGGCTCCTATAACCCAGGCACCCATAGGACCTCCTTAGGCTCCTATAGGATACACCCCTAGAACCCCTGGGCACCCATAAGACCTGCTCGGGCACCCATAGGGCATCCTTAGGCTCCTACAGGAGGCACCCCTAGAACTGCCTGGGCACCCATAGGGCCTCTTTGGGCTCCTATAGGAGGCACCCCTAGAACTGCCTGAGCACCCATAGGGCTTCTTTGGGCTCCTATAGGAGGCACCCCTAGAACTGCCTGAGCACCCATAGGACCTCCTTAGGCTCCTATAACCCAGGCACCCCTAGGACCTCCTTAGGCTCCTACAGGAGGCACCCCTAGAACCCCCTGGGCACCCCTAGGACCTCCTTAGGCTCCTATAACCCAGCCCCCCCCCTCCCCCCGGGGCACCCCTATAGGACCCGCGGGGGGGTTTGCCATGGATTGGGCCTGGGCACCCCCATCCCCTTCATCCCCCCCCGGTTCCCGTTCCCCTTCATCCCCTCCCGGCTCCCGGTCCCCATCCCCTTCATCCCCCCTCGGTTCCCGGTCCCCTTCATCCCCCCGCGGTTCCCGTTCCCCTTCATCCCCTCCCGGTTCCCGTTCGCCATCCCCTTCATCCCCCCCCGGTTCCCGTTCCCGTTCCCCTTCATCCCCCCCCGGTTCCCGTTCCCCATCCCCTCCGCTGCCGTGCGCGGAGCCGGCTCGGGCGGCGTTCGCGGAGCTGCGTTTGGAGGAGCTGATCGGAGCTGGCGGCTTCGGGCGGGTGTTCCGAGGGACGTGGAGGGGCGAAGTGGTAGCGGTGAAGGCGGCTCGGGGGGACGCCGGGGCTGCGGGGGCTGCGAGCCTGCGGCGGGAGGCTCGGCTCTACGCGAGGCTCCGGCATCCCAACGTGGTGGCTCTGAGGGCCGTGTGCCTCGATCCCCCCCACCTCTGCCTCGTCATGGAGTTCGCGGCTGGGGGACCCCTGAACAGAGCCCTCGCCGGCCGCAGGGTGCCCCCGGTTGTGCTGCTCGATTGGGCTCGGCAAGTGGCCACGGGGATGCGGTACCTGCACGCCGGTACCCCCGTGCCTCTCCTGCACCGGGACCTTAAGTCTAGCAATGGTGAGAGGTGGGGGGGGGGGGAATGGGGGGGAATGGGGTGATGGGGGGGGAATGGGGGTGATGGGAAATGGGGATGATGGGGGAAATGGGGGTGATGGGGGAAATGGGAGTGATGGGGGAGAAATGGGATGATGGGGGAAATGGGGCAATGGGGGTGATGGGGGAGAAATGGGATGATGGGGGAAATGGGGCAATGGGGGTGACGGGGGAGAAATGGGGATGAGGGAGAAATGGGGATGGGGTGATGGGAGAAATGAGGGTGATGGGAGAAATGGGGTGATGGAGAAATGGGGGTGATGGGAAATGGGGGTGATGGGGGAATGGGGGTGATGGGGGGGGGTGATGGGGTGATGGGGGAAATGGGGGTGATGGGGAAATGGGGGTGATGGGGGAGAAATGGGGTAATGGGGATGATGGGGGAAATGGGAGGAGAAATGGGGGTGATGGGAAATGGGGGTGATGGGGGAGAAATGGGGGAGATGGGGCAATGGGGGTGATGGGGGAGAAATGGGGTGATGTTGGAGATGGGGCAATGGGGGTGATGGGGGAAATGAGGGTGATGGAGGAAATGGGGCAATGGGGGTGATGGGGGAAATGGGGGGGGGTGATGGGGGCAAGGGGGGTGATGGTGGGAAGTGGAGGTGATGGGGACAATGGGGGTGAATGGGACCCATTGGAGTCATGGGTACTTATAAGGGTGATGGGGAGAAATGGGGGTGATGGACCCAATGGGGGTGATGGGGTTGATGGGGGCAATGGGTGTAATGGGGATCAATAGAGATGATGGGGACCAATAGGTGTGAATGGGACCTATTGGGGTAATGGGTACCCATGGGGGTGATGGGGAGCAATGGGGATGATGGGGGGCAATGGGGGTGATGGGGGCAATGGGGGTGATGGGGGCAATGGGTACCCATTGGTGTCATGCGGAGCAATAGGGGTGATGGGAACAATGGGGGTGAGTTGGACCCATTGGGGTAATGGGTACTCATGGGGGTGATGGTGGTAATGGGGGTGATGGGGGCAATGGGTACCCATGGATGCTGGGGGACACTGGGCACCCATTGGGGTATTGAGGCATCCCTGGGTGCTGGGGGCAAGGGGTACCTGTGTGTGCTGGGGTCACGGGGCACCCATTGGGGTAATGGGGCATCGCTGTGTGCTGGGGCAGTTGTGGGGGCAATGGGTACCCATGGGTGCTGGGGGTCATGGGGCATCCCTGGCTTCTGGGGGCATTGGGTACCCATGGGTGCTTGGGGGCATGGGGCACCCATTGGGGTAATGGGGCATTGCTGGGTGCTGGGGCACCCATGGGGGCAATGGGTACCCAAGGGTGCTGGTGGTCATGGGGTAATGGGGCATCACTGGGTGCTGGGGGCAATGGGCACCCACTGGGGCAATGGGGCATCACTGGGTACTGGGGGTGCTGGGGGCAATGGGTACCCATGGGTGCTGGGGTCACGGGGCGCCGCTGGCTCCTGTGCCATGGGGGGTGATGGGGGCACCGCGGGGTGCTCAGTGCCGGGGGCAGCCCTTGGGGCTGGGGGTCCCTGGGGCCCTTGCGGGGCTGTGACCACGTGGTCCCATTCCTGTTCCCGTTCCCGCTCCCATTCCCTTTCCTTTTCCCTTTCCCTCTCCCGTTCCCTTTCCCGCTCCCTTTCCTATTCCTGTTCCCATTCCCATTCCCTTTCCCGTTCCCTTTCCCGCTCCCTTTCCCGCTCCCTTTCCCAATCCCTTTTCCCGTTCCCGTTCCTTTTCCCTTTTCCAATTCCCTTTCCCGTTCTCATTCCCAATCCCTTTCCCGCTCCCTTTCCCGTTCCCTCTCCCGCTCCCTTTTCCCGTTCCCGTTCCTTTTCCCGCTCCCTTTCCCTTTTCCCTTTCCCTTTTCCCATTCTCTTTCCCGATCCCTTTCCCGATCCCTTTCCCGTTCCCTTTTCCCGTTCCCTTTTCCCGTTCCCTTTTCCCGTTCCCGCTCCCTTTCCCGCTCCCTTTCCCGCTCCCTTTCCCGCTCCCTTTCCCGCTCCCTTTCCCGCTCCCGTTCCCTTTCCCTTTTCCCGTTCCTGTTCCCTTTTCCCGTTCCCTTTTCCTGTTCCCGTTCCCTTTCCCGTTCCCATTCCCGATCCCGTTCCCTTTTCCCGTTCCTTTTTCCCGTTCCCTTTCCCGTTTCCATCCCCGTTCCCTTTCCTTTTCCCGTTCCTGTTCCCTTTCCCGTTCCCTCTCCCTCTCCCGTTCCCTTTCCCATTTCCGTTTCCGTCCCCGTTCCCTTTCCCGTTCCTGCTCCCTTTCCCCTTCCCATTCCCTTTCACGTTCCTTTTCCCTCTCCCGTTCCTGTTCCCCTTCCCATCCCTGTTCCCTTTCCCATTCCCTCTCCCGTTCCCTTTCCTGTTCCCATCCCGTTCCCGTCCCCGTTCCCGTCCCCGTTCCCGTCCCCGTTCCCGTCCCCGTCCCCGTCCCTGTTCCCGTTCCCTTTCCCGTCCCCGTTCCCATCCCCGTTCCCTTCCCCGCTCCCTTCCCCGTTCCCATCCCCGTTCCCGTTCCCATCCCCGCCCCGCTCCCGCAGTGCTCCTGGCGCAGCCGCTGGACGGGGACGACGTGAGCGGGAAGACGCTGAAGATCACGGACCTGGGGCTGGCCCGCGAGTGGCAGCGCACGACCAAGATGAGCGCGGCCGGGACCTACCCCTGGATGGCGCCGGAGGTCATCCGGGCATCCACCTTCTCCAAGGGCAGCGACGTCTGGAGGTGATGCATGGGGTGATGGGGACCCATGGCGTGATGGGGGCCCATGGGGTGATGCATGGGGTGATGGGGACCCATGGGGTGAGAGCCCATGGGGTGATGGGGACCCATGGGGTGAGAGCCCATGGGGTGATGGGAGAACGTGGGGTGATGCATGGGGTGATGGGGACCCTTGGGGTGATGCATGGGGTGATGGGGGCCCATGGGGTGATGGGAGAACGTGGGGTGATGGGAGAACGTGGGGTGATGCATGGGGTGCTGGGGACCCATGGGGTGATGGGGACCCATGGGGTGAGAGCCCATGGGGTGATGGGAGAACGTGGGGTGATTCATGGGGTGATGGGGACCCATGGGGTGATGGGGGCCCATGGGGTGATGCATGGGGTGATGGGGACCCATGGGGTGAGAGCCCATGGGGTGATGGGAGAACGTGGGGTGATGCATGGGGTGATGGGAGCCCATGGGGTGATGGGGACCCTTGGGGTGATGGGAGAACGTGGGGTGATCCATGGGGTGATGGGGACCCATGGGGTGATGGGAGACCCATGGGGTGATGCATGGGGTGATGGGGACCCATGGGGTGATGGGGACCCATGGGGTGAGAGCCCATGGGGTGATGGGAGAACGTGGGGTGACCCATGGGGTGATGGGGGCCCATGGGGTGAGAGCCCATGGGGTGATGGGAGAACGTGGGGTGACCCATGGGGTGATGGGGACCCATGGGGTGATGGGGGCCCATGGGGTGATGCATGGGGTGATGGGAGAACGTGGGGTGGGGGTGATGGGAGCCCATGGGGTGATGGGAGAACGTGGGGTGATCCATGGGGTGGGGGTGATGGGAGCCCATGGGGTGGGGGCGATGGGAGCCCATGGGGTGATCCATGGGGTGGGGTTGATGCATGGGGTGATGGGAGAACGTGGGGGGGAGCCCATGGGGTGCCCATGGGGTGATGGGGACCCTTGGAGTGGGAGCCCATGGGGTGATCCATAGGGTGGGGGTGATGGGGGGCCCTGGGGTGCCCTTGGGGTGATGGGAGCCCATGGGGTGGGGGTG